GATGTGGTTTTGTATTCAGTGGACCCGTGAAGATCCAGGGTAGAATAGGCCTTCAGCAACACATCCTTGTCATAAGTGGCGAATAACGGTTTCGGAAGGTCATGTCATTGTATCCCAATTACGGAATGATGCTCATGATATCAATCACTGGATAATCTGGTCAAGACCCGATCATTTACAGACCGCCATCTTATAGCTGTAATACCGCTAAGTGCGACGTTAAACAAACAAAAATGTGTTCAGTTATAGATTACTTCTATTCTCTTTGACAACAAACACTTGGACTTGTTCGTTGAAAGTCGTAGTGTTAAATCTATTGCAAATGTGCTCAGTTTAACAACTACAATCGATTCGATAAGCATATATAATGTATATATTCCTTAAGTTAGACATGAGTTGCAAAATAGTTATTTATACCCAATGATCAATCACCCTTTTAATCAGCCCCCTGTTGCTACTCAAGACGAATGTGTACTTGTTTATTATAATCTCGTTAATGTTGCCTGTATGTGCATGTATGTTCTCTCTGTATCATTACCCTGTCATTTGCTTCATATCGGTGTCAAAGTCTACTGCGAGACATCGCTACAATTGTAATACAGAAGTTGGTCATCATTTTTACAGAATTTATATGAGTTTGTTCTTGTGTCTTTATTGTTTTGTTTCTCAGATATTAGCTCAGTTCAATAAAGCGCTGATTGCGACCAAAATATGTTTATCTGATGCTTTAATGTGTTGCCAAGCTACACGATCTGGTGCATCCTGTGCAAAGTCCGTCTATTATCTAGCCATCGTTGCCTAGCTACGCGATCTGGTAACATATTGAAAGTACATGGATAGTAGAATTTGTTGCCTAGCTAGGAGATCTGGTACGTATAAAGGTATGTTATGTAAAGTGCATAGATCATCTAGGCTGTGTTGCCGAGCTACACGATCTGGTTTTCATGTTATATAAAGTGCATGGGTCATCTAGTCTGTGTTGCCTAGCTACACGATCTAATGCATGTTATGTAAAGTGCATGGATCATCTAGTCTGTGTTGCCAAGCTACACAATCTGGTTCATGTTATGAAAAGTGCATAGATCATCTAGTCTGTGTTGCCTACCTACACGATCTAATGCATGTTATGTAAAGTGCATGGATCATCTAGTCTGTGTTGCCTAGTTACACGATCTGGTGCATGTTATGTAAAGTGCAAGGATCATCAAGTCTGTGTTGCCTACCTACACGATCTGGTCCATGTTATGTAAAGTGCAAGGATCATCTAGCCTGTTTTACCTAGCTACACGATCTGGTAACATATTTAAAGAACATGGATCGTAGGAGTTGCTGCCTAGCTAGAAGGTCTGGTACATATAACGGTAATTGTAAAGTGCATGGATCATCTAGTCTGTGGTGCCTAGTTACACGATCTGGTGCATGTTATGTAAAGTGCATGCATCATCTGGTCTGTGTTGCCTAGCTACACGATCTGGCCCATGTTATGTAAAGTGCAAGGATCATCTAGTCTGTTTTGCCTAGCTACGCGTTCTGGTCAATGTTATGTAAAGTGCAAAGATCATCTAGTCTGTTTCGCCTAGCTACCCCATCTGGTTCATGTTATGTAAAGTGCATTGATCATCTAATCTGTGTTGCCTAGCTACCCGATCTGGTGTATGTTATGTAAAGTGCATTGATCATCTAGTCTGTGTTGCCTAGCTACACGATCCGGTCAATGTTATATAAAGTGCATGGATCATCTAGTCTGTGTTGCCTAGCTACACGATCTGGTGCATTTTATATAAAGTGCAAGGATCATCTAGTCGGTGTTGCCAAGCTACACGATCTGGTGCATGTTATGTAAAGTGCATGGATCATCTAGTCTGTGTTGCCTAGCTACACGATCTGGTCCATGTTATATAAAGTGCATGGATCATTTAGTCTGTGTTGCCAAGCTACACGATCTGGTCCATGTTATGTAAAGTACATAGATCATCTAGTCTGTGTTGCCTAGCTACACGATCTGGTGCATGTTTTGTAAAGTGACTGGATCATCTAGTCTGTGTTACAATGAATGTTTTGTGTAAGTGGCCAAAACGGACGTTTAAATGGTATCGACAGCATACGCCACCAGTGATCCATGCTTGTCACCAGGACGGACTCAGTATGGATCGGCGGTCATTTTAACATCCATTATGTTTAAATGGTGCTTGACTTTCTGGCCACTGAGGAAGAGTCTGTGGTAACCTTGGCACATGAACAATGTGAAATACAGTGTCAAGGAAGAGTTGACATTCCATTATCTTTGACTTCGTATTCGGTTTATAGTCTAATACATTTTAACAACCTGATACCTGTTTAAAATATATTACAATTGTATACCGCTGTTCGCGTACACAAAGCTTCATCCTCCATATTGTACGTTGTGTCGACAATATACGCCCACAGCGACCCATGCTTGTCACCAGGACAGACTCAGTAGGGATCGGGTAGCCACAATGGACGTTTAAATGGTGTTGAGAGTATACGCCCACAGTGACACATGCTCGTCATCAGACTCAAATACCGATCACATTACCCATCATCTCTGACTTCATGTTAGGTTTGGACGTTGGGGTAACCCAGCGGTTAAAGCATTCGCTCGTCACGCCGAAAACCCGGGTTCGATTCCCCACATGGATACAATGTATCAACCCCATTTCTGGTGTCCCTATTGATGGAATATTGTAAAAAGCGGCGTAAAACCATTCTCATTCACTCACTCATATTAGGTTTATAGTAACCAGCACCTGATTTAACCACAACATGCTCCAGATCACACTATGTGTGCTTGATGTTAAGACAAATCTCGGCGTCCTGGGTCCGAATGCTCATATACACACATACCCAATTGGAGCCACTCATCCAATAGAGGTATCCACGTGTGGCTCCAAACATGCTCCGATGTGGACCTTCTCCTACTCACAGTGTTCACCTCTAAAGCTAAACATAATTTGGACAGAGTCAGTCTCGTACAAAAAAAAGAACAAGATATAGTAAATGAGAGAATGAGGTTATGAGCCGAGTTTGGCAAAACTCCAATCAGCGTACTTCACACATTGCACCAATGTAGGGGATCGAACTCAGATATTTGGCAAGGACAACGAATACTGTAACTCAAAGGCTTCGTGACCCTACAGCCGTATCTGGAGATAGAGCATGACAAGAGTTGTCCCCTGTTATCATCACATGACACGCCCATATACAGATAGTGAATGTGGAAGATGTTTAACTAGAATTACAGGGGACATCGATCACACCCGGCGTTCACCGTTTTCCAAGGTGTTCCAAGGTGTTCCAAGGTGCTCAAAGGTGCTCAAAGGTGCTCAAAGGTAAGATATTAACTGTTCAAATGTCACTACAGTGTGTTCCATGTACCGTGGGTAACAGGGACCTGGCTGCAGCCTTTGGTGTCTACATTGCAGAACGGTTGAGGTATACAATCAAGCATGCTCTCTCTACGACGATTTGAAAGAGCGTCATATTTAATAGTGATATAATGAAGCTTTTGGCCCAGTGGTGTGTACTGACAAGTGGAGATGCTGGACATTTATAGTAATCGCCTTCGTATGTTTTGACATTGAGTGATTCCTCAGTCAGTGAATTGTGCTTTGTCTTGATCTAAATTTTGACCGACGATACGTCACTAGGTAATGATGCTATATTATTACATCATTATAACGTCACTAGGTAATGATGCTATATTATTACATCATTATAACGTAAACGTCTACAAGATTTAATTGCTTGTAGATATACGAAAGGTAATGGACTCTTTAGAATATTTTAATTCCATTTATATGTAAACGCTAATATGTACAGATCATATTTGAAAAATATTGAGTGTATCTTTCACTGGTATAGTAATTCATAAACGCATGTTTATGATGTAGTCGGAATCGTACAATGGGCTCTGCTTGTAGCAGAGATTTCTTATGATTATGGAAAAAGGGTTATGTCGCTTGTAGTTGTGGTGTACTAAGAGTCGGAGTGTGGGGCATGTTGGGAAATGATGATACAGGTAAGGATGACCCGTGACAGTAAGGTGATGGATGCAGCATTGGAAACAGATAATGAAGAGCATCGTATGGCTTCTTGTGTACCGTAAGTAATTGTATTCTATGTTGTTTCAAGTAAACATCCTCAATACTTGTGTTTTATGACACTCTGAACACTATTATCCCCCGGCCCGAAGTGGAATGGGGATATTGGAATGGGTCCGTCCGTCACGGTTCGTTTCCGGAGCAGAACTGAAAAAAACATTAGAGATATCTGAACCAAACTTGGCACATTGATAGGTCTAGTGGTGAACTGGTGCCTTTTGATAGTTTGGAATTTTGTTAAATATTTTCGAGTTTCGATAGGAACGACTTTGACCTAGACTGAAAATGGCGGTAGTGGTCGTTTCCGGAGCAGATCTTGAAAACCGTACAGTATTTCTTGACTTGCAGACATGTCATGTTGGTGGGGGATATGAGTATTTCATGCTTATTTCGGTGACACCACGAGGTGGCACTTTAACATGGGGTGAACGGTGACGCAGGTCGTACACAGTTAACACGATGGTGGAGCCCACGAGGCGTGTTGACCAAGGCTAATAATCAGCACGAATCTTGTATTTTCACCCACGATCAGCGAATCCTGACACTACTAATGGACGAAACGCGGATCCTCCAGGTGTCTAGCTCAGCAGAATGCACAGAGACACCCTTCTTGTTTATTAAAACAGTGATATAAAGTTATTTCGATTTTAAAAAAAAATACTTGACAGTTACTTTAATAAAAGCTTAATTTAATGTCTTCTATTGTGGCTAGTGAACACGCTTAAGTTACCTGAGTGAGTGAGTATGGTTTTACGGCGCTTTTAGCAATATTCCAGCAATAACACGGCGGAGGACACCAGAAAAATGGCCTCACACATTGTAACTAAGTCAGGAATCAAACCCGGGTCTTCAGCGTGACGAACGAACACATTAACAACTAGGCTAAATACTGAATAAAGTTGGCTGTAAATTTAGTGAAATGTGTGTTGGGGTTAGGATCGTGAAGTATGACACTCATGCCTTATTGGTCAGCAAATAAAACTATATACCTTCTTTATGTCTCCACCAACACAGCAAGCTGAATATTTTTATTAACTGACCAATGACGATTTTCTATGGACTTTACACAATCGATAAGGATGTAAAATAATTTGTTTGCATTGCTCTAATGAGAGTCATTGTCCATATTCTCCATAATCTATATATTCTTGTGTTTTCTGTTCCAACCTACATGATGTCCAGTTAGAGCCGAGAATCTGGATATGTGGACAACTGGCAGTCAGAGAAGACTGTCACAGAGTGTAATCTGCGCATGCTCAACACGGAAGACTTAAGTGACGTCACCTTCCGTGTAGGATCAGAGAAACAGGTGGTCCGAGCACACCGCTACGTTCTTGTCAGTCGCAGCTGTGTCTTCCATGCCATGTTCTGTGGCCCCCTGGCGGAGACAGGGGAGGTAACCATCCCTGACATTGAGGCAGACATCTTCAAAGAGTTCTTGAGGTTAGATTCATCCACCAGTTACGTATATTAGTCTATTCACCAATGAAAATAACACATTATGTACTCTGGTTCTGATGACATATTAGTTTTTGGAGATGCTCGGAGGACAAAAAGCCATTGTTTGAACTATATGGATTCATACTTTAAGAGTGTCGAGTCAGTATGCCCTACATCAAGTGTGCCCTACGCGGTAGCGCAATCGATATTTAGCATAGAGGCATATCCCTACCTGGACACACAAAACAGATAACCCAACCTGATTATACTATTTTCACTTTAATAAAGATAAACATTAATAACATAATACAAACAAACAACATTTATTTCTTCCCATTCATATTTCTAAGATAATATTATAGGTATGTGTACACAGACAAGGCCTCTATCAACGCTGCAACAGCCACGGGTCTAATGTACACCTCCAGGAAATATGCCATAGATGCATTGTACAATCTCTGTGTAACGTTCCTGGAAAAGTCCCTGTCAGAAGACAATGTCTGTAAGATCCTGAAGCAGTGTCATGGCTATGGGGAGCTGGACTTGGAACAGAAGGCCCTGAAGATCCTGACTCGAGGAGGCAAGAGAGTCATCCAATCTCACGGGTTTTTGAAGCTTTGCGCTGAGTGTGTGGCTAAGTTTGTGAGGTCAGATAATTTAGATTTTAAAGAGGAAGACATCTTTGAAGGAGTTCTGTCCTGGACAAAAGGAAGATGCAAACAGGAAGGTGTCAATTACACGCCTGAGAACAGACGGAGTTTCCTTGGAGATATTAAGTATGAGATCCGGTTTACCAGCATGCCTTTAGAGTATCTGGTGAAGGATGTAGGCCGATCTGGTGTGCTGACAGACAGTGAGAGAATACGAATAATGGACAGAGCAATAGACACAACTGTTGACATATCTCCATTTAAACATTCACAGAGAAAAACCGTAAGTTCTATAGGAAGGAAACCGAAGACATCCTGTAAAAGTGTGTATAGGTTTGTGTCTTATCGCAATTTATTGATACCAGCTGGGTCCAATGCTATCTCTTTCTCGCCTAGCAAGAGAATTTCCCTGCAAGGATGTCTGTTGTATGGTGGATATGATGATGCTGAATACAAACTGAATATCACTTTTTATGACCTTGATAAAGTGGTGTTTATTGAACGGTTCAACAAGATGATGCTTCAGGGCAGTAGACAGCTGAATGACGTCCTGTTTCCAAGGCCTTTTCCCCTTACAGCAGGTGCGACCTATACTCTGCGTGTGGACATGGAGGGACCTGACACTGTCTGTGAAGAGGAAGGAAAGGATACAGTAACAGTGGATGGAGTAAAGTTCACATTTAAAGACTGTCTAATGCAAAGCACAATCACATCAACACGTCGAGGACAGATACCTGGTTTGATGTTCAATCACTCGTCATAGAGAGTACTCGTATATCAGATGCGGCTTGCTGACCACTTTGACACTGTGGCATAATTTGATATTGTGAAAACCATATTATCTTGGATATGATCATATTGAAAAGTATAATCTCATTAAATGCGGAAGTTGTTGCATGATAAAATTGCAGTTTTCCAAGGTGTTCCAAGGTGTTTCAAGGTACGATATTAACTGTTCAATGTAACTACTGCGTGTTTCATGTGCATTGGATATCATGGACCTGGCTGCAGCCGTTGGTGTCAGCATTGCAGAACCTTAACCGTATACAATCGAGTATGCTCTTTCTACGACTATTTTAATGAACTTCTTATGACTCTTGCTCAGCAGCAGCATTCAAGGCCTAAGTAAAACTTTTATGGTAGAAAAGTCATGTGGAGGAAATTTCCAAATTTGACGCGTCAGTGACCAACATGATTTCCGAAAGGCTATTTTGCACTATATGTTCCCTTGTTTGTTCAGGTGAACGCTTGACATGCCCAAATCATGGTTATACCGTCACCACTCCTATTAGCAAGTGGTATGTGCTTCTGAGAGGAGGTTTGTGACGTCATTTCAGCCATTTTGACAAATAAAATATTGAGAGAAGTATCAATGATACATCAATATGCAGGTCCCTATTTCTTGACGACTCAGCATGTGATGTGTTCCACCAGTGGGTCAGGATACGCTCTCTATTTCACGAACACCTGGTATCAGCACTATTTAATTTCTCACACGATCAGCGGATCCTGATTTTTCAAATATCGATGACATAATGACCTACAACTGATACGCAACTGCTCTGACGTGTGTGCGTAGCTCCTCACATGTCATCTGATAGATACCACAGTTTTCGACTGTCACGACGTTGTTGTGACTTTTGTGGTTTAGTGGGTACTGATAGCATACAAATACAAAACAAAGAAGCTATTGTGTTGTGGGCCACTAATACAAAGCCGGGCAGTTGCGATTGGCCACCCTACACCATCGGCAGTTTATTGGTTATGAATAACGAAGATTTCAGGCTGAGCTTTGACACACTGATGAAAGTGAGAGCACTGAACATTGGGATTCAAATCTTTTGAAACCGTCTAAAATCTTTCTGTTAAATTCTCAGTCTTCAAGAAACAAGGCCCTGGATATCGCAGACTGTATCACTCATAATGCTCTCGATATTTTGTTCATGAAAGATGAAAGCCTAAATAACAGCACATAAAGTTACACTCCCTGAAGCACATACCACGGACTTATAGAAATGGTGGTGGCATAACAATGATTTACAGGATCTAATCTCTGTAACACAAGAGTTTTGTTAAATGATGAATTTAATCATCTCTGTCTCAAACTTTCCCTTCAGGTCTGTACAAACGTCTGGCATCGAAGAGGAAGACATTTTTACCCAGTTTTACAATGAACTAACAGTTCTCCCCGACAAACTCCACCAGGGGAAAAAATAGAACCGTTGGTGATTTCAATGAACATTATGATACGATTGGAAAGAGGTGAAGAAATTGATAAAAACTCATTGACCCCGTTGGGTTAATCCAACACGTGAATGAATCCACACAAAAGTCTGGACATTTTTAAATGTGCATTGACGAGCTATGACTGTAATGTTGTAGAAGACGATGATCACCATATCTTGAAAATGGCATTCTCGATGTCAAAACAAACAAATCATTTATGCCAAGACATCAAAAACATTGATACTGTGTAATTCACCAAGGGATGTGGATGCTCTATGTCGTTGTATGAAAATACCTTGATACAACTCTTGCATAAACATGCGCCGACTGTAACAAAACACGCCTTAGAGGCCAAATGTTCTCCAATACCCAACCGTTACACAGAATCACAAGTCGTATGCTCGTGTGTGCATGGAGCCAAGTGTGAAAGGTATATTTAGGTTTGAACGCGAGAATAAAAGGTGAGAGCAAGCGGATACATTGTACATTGTCTAAGCCTGTGTTGTGCGATTGTGAGGCAGAAAGTCCTTGTCAATGCAAGGGTATATAAAGAGTTCGCCCCTCAAATCAGTGTTGGTCGTGCACTCGAGGGTGAGAACGCCAGACCACCATTACATGTTGGGCCAAGATCGGGCGTAAGTAGTTCATATTTAATCATATTCATGTATAATAGGATTGTTTAGTTTATTAATACATGTATGTTCCATGGATAGTAAATTATTAAACTTTGTTTTTTAGTATAGTGCATATTGTAAATGTAAATATAGAGTAAAATGGTAACAAAGAGTTTTTTTATTTTTGTGGTAGTAATTGAGTATATATACCCACATATGTATATACCGAATATTTAGACATGTTCTGAATATTGTGAGTAGTAGTGTTGGACATGACACCCAGCGACTCGGGTACCGTCCTTTCAGTGTAAATGTCATGCAGGCGTGACCTTTAGTCCTACCCTGGGAACAAGATGATACACACCAAGACATGTTGAGGGAGACCATCTGATGGAAGACAGACATGAGCTACCAAGACGTTACTGCGTCCAGTATAGATGTGACTCCTAAGTGTTGTATCAGAGTGCAGTGAGTAAATGCAGTATTCACTGATGCTGTATCTCCACATCCTTCAATATGAACTATTGTCATCAGAGACAATACATTGACTAAGGTCACTCTAACGTGCTCATTGTTTGTCGTGGAAGACAAATTTACAAATGACTATCTATTGTCATCATCATTCATACTGTGTCATGAAAGACCAGAATTATATTTTGTCATTGGACAATTCCCTTATACATGTCTGTGTAGACATTTATGTTTTGTTTTTGATGATGATATTTTGATGTGACATGTGATATCTTTTATACCTGAACCTTTTTTGATTGTATTGTGTGTTTTATATTTTATATTAATATTAATATTAGCCAGTATTAGAATTAGTTTAGTATTATATAGTATTAGTAGTAATATTGTCAGATAATTGGTAAGAAGTTCGTAGGAATTATGTAAAAAGTTTTTGTTTTCTCTTATATAATAATACATTATATTATTTTATTTGCTTTGAGGGTTCTGTCATTTCTAATTCTTCTAGAGCATATTGTGTGACAAACATATTTAACAGTGGAACACGCTGTGCGACACACATATGATGCTAATGATGTAAGCTAAATCAAATAACTGATTGTAAGTGATGTTTCATGCGACCTTGTCCTTTAAATAACACGGCATTTTAATTGCCTGTAAGCCATTTCACCCGTTGGTGATCCTGGGTTGCAGCAAGACAATGTAGTACCATATGTACCGCATTCAGCTCTCTACGAGTCGAACTCGAGCTATCTCCTCCTTTGATTACTGTCCATGAGAAGCTACACAGCCCACGTCTACACAATAACCTGCATAGCCACTGTCACTGGCATTGGAATAAACTACTTTCTTGGTGCATGCTGTCTGAACCAGTGATCTATAAGTATACTGCTTTACATTGTCTGACCAGAACTCATATCTGACTACAGGATCTTCATGCACCATGTAACTGACATACTAATGTCCATACTTAAGGATCTTATCATTAGAAGAGTGGGCACGGGTGGCCCAGTCGTCTTGGACGCCGCGATTCGCTGTGCAGAGT